CATTTTAATTACAGATAAGTAATTAAAATGAATTTTAAAATAATTTTTACATCAGTCGATAGAAAAATGTTCAAATTTTCTACCTGTGAAAAAAATTTTTTTTTAGGATAAAAAATGACCGAGTTATTACCAAAACAATACGGAATTTTCCAAAATTGATCCGATTTCCCCCAACTGACTCTATCTTTTGGAATAATCTTTATTAGAAGGAGAAATTAAAGTACGAAGAAAAGAAAAGAAAAATGAAAAACTTCAATTTATGAAAGAAGGAGAGAATATATGGAAGGTAGTCAACACTACTTTTAAAAAGTATTCTCCAGTCTTTCGTGGCCTTACTACTGCACAAGGAATTTTAATAAGTGTATAAATAACGGGGAGTTTTGCAACCAGGTAAACACGCAAAAGGTATTTATTTATCTAAAGAAGGCATTTATCCTACCGAAGCTAAATTGCGGTCTATTTCTCCTCTTCCGAATCTAGCCAAATGAATAGAAAAAATTATTGCCGAGCTAATTGAAAAATGGTGTGAGGATAATGGTATACATTTAGATGAACAGTCAGGGTTTATTGCGCATCGCCGCTCGCAAACTAGAATTCTATCGCTGGTAGAAGATTTACGATTAACAGTTATCGCATCTATTCGTCATACTTTAGTAATATTCGTATATTTTCTAACCGCTTTCGATAAAATGTGGTATCCAGCTCTCCAGAAGACCTTCAAATGCCTTTAGATCTCCGAAGATGGATATTTTTATGGTTACAAAACCGCACAATGACTGTCAATCATGGTAATTTCGAATCAAGAATTATAAAAATTTTCGTGGGTACTCTCAAGGTTCCGTACTTGCTGCTGTATTATTTCGTTTAAACATCCATTTTCTTCCATCCCTCTATGCGCATATTTTATCGCATTTGTTTGGTGATAATCTTACTCTAGTACCGAAAGGAAGTCTTGAAAAAAGATTAAACGACAATATTAAAGATCTCGAAAGACAGGCTATAACTGTTTTAAAAACACTTGAGAAATTTTTTGATAATCTTATTTTTCCCGTTAATGTTAAAAAAACCAAAGCAGAGCTAATACATAGTGCGGCGTAACGGCACTAATAGTGCTAAAACTAAAAATTCAATATAAAAATACAGAAATCGAAATTGTTGCGTCATACAAGTACTTAGAAGTGGAGATGGAAACTAAATTGGGATGGAGTAATTTTATTAATAGTCGTTTGAAAAAAGTAATAAATGTATATTGTGCACTAAGAAAAACATTTAAATCAATCCCTAGAGAAGAAATGAAAATTCGAAGAAAACTATTTTGTGCGTGCGCGCTTGCACACTTTATTTGGCTTTTTGCCACATGGTTTTATTTTACAGAAAAACAACAAAATTCCATTGAACATGTGTATTATACAAGACTAAGAATTGTACATAGCCTGTGGGGTTGGGACGACCTAACACTTGTGGTTGCAAGGGATTACTCGATAAAAGACTACACTTTTAAGTATTGGAGCAAATTCGAAATACATCTAGAAGACTCATTGGACGCTGTTATATACCAACAAACATGGACGACTTTTAGAATTGTTACCTCTCCCTCCAAGCTTTACTACAAATCAATGGGTTTCAGAAAAATGCAACATGTCCTAGAAAAGATTAGTGATAAAGGCTAGGCATACTAAATTAGATTGGTTAACGTTTCACAATCTTCAAAAAGGCCAACTCTAGTCTTTTAAAACCTCTTCTGCAATCCTAGAGTGGTTCGCAATTAAGTATTTTCCACAAACATCCTAGTTAGACGTACGTAACTAAGAAAACACATCTGATTGGGACGCACAATGACAATAAGTTTTTGCTTCTTAAACTATTTTTGTAACTTTATTCATCCTTAAATGCTCTTTCTACTCTTAGTGTTCTTCTTCTTTCATATTTCTCTGTGCTATATTATAGAATTTGTAATAGACTGTCCGGTTGTAAGAAGGAAAATGAAGAAAGTGATAAACTGCATGCTAAGAATGTATTTTTCTTTTTTCTAAAACTTATTTATTTTTGTTTGTTTTTCTTTATTTATTCTGTCATGCAACACAATAATGTTAATATTGTTAACCTGTTTTGGAACAATAAAATAACTTAAAAAAAAAAAAAAAGAACACGAAAAGCTCTATCACAAAATTAGAAGACAAATACTAAGCACATCCATAATGCTTTTTGATTTTATCAACATCATTGGCTGATAATTCGGATGCATGACCCATTTGTGCAACCCATGATTCCCAGCCCGGATAAGTAGGGATCATTGTTGGTTTGCCGTTTTTGGAAAAAGCATCTTGAGCGTAATGCATTACTGAACCTAACAATTTTACTTTGTCACTTAAATAAATGTCATGAAATCATACATATTTACTTACCATAATCATAACCATGGTTGAATAGATTCACTTCACTTGCTGCATAACGATCAAAATTAAACCTTTGTGCTAGAAAAAGAGAAAATAATTTAGTTTAACTAATATTTATGCTTTACTCTTACAATCTTCAATATTGTTCCATTGAATTTGAATATAATTATCACGATCCGGCCGTGTTTGTTCATGAGCAAGACCTAATGCATGTCCAATTTCATGAATAACTGTTCCTTGATCTACACAATTATAATTCCAGTCTTTCCTTAATGATAAATCTTGAGCACCTCTATCATAAATTTTTCCAAAATATGACCAACATCTATTGAAAACGAATAAAATGCCAAGTTGTCATACAAATATAATTTCCACTTACCCAGTGCCAGGAAAGATTCGTAACCATGTTGGATTATTTTCACGCCAAACAAATTTGATGCAATCATTTGTTTGTTCACTTATTTTTAGCATGGCATTGATAATTTTATTTTGCTCGTCTTGCGTATACCAACCTGGTTCAAACTCAATCGGTATAACACCACCAGGCCATTTACGTGCGGATAATACCATATTTCTCATTTCAGACGTAGATGGTACAGCAATATCGCCTTCGACTAATTTCACATTTTCAGTTGGCACTGGAGGTTCGTTGACAGTTTTTGCTTGTTGTTGATGATTTCTCACGCCCACTGAAATTCGTGTGCCTTCAAAACGTTCAACGACGTTTGCGTTAATTGCTAGTAACAAATAAACAAATGAAATAATAGCTGAATACCAATGCATTGTGCGGGTGATAACNTTTCTCATTTCAGACGTAGATGGTACAGCAATATCGCCTTCGACTAATTTCACATTTTCAGTTGGCACTGGAGGTTCGTTGACAGTTTTTGCTTGTTGTTGATGATTTCTCACGCCCACTGAAATTCGTGTGCCTTCAAAACGTTCAACGACGTTTGCGTTAATTGCTAGTAACAAATAAACAAATGAAATAATAGCTGAATACCAATGCATTGTGCGGGTGATAACGGAATATGTGAGACAACTCGAATGATTTTGTTTTTGCTTTTATATGCTTTAAGATTGAGTAAAAAAGGATGCACATAGACAGTCAGCAACGAGAAAAAGTAATTTTTAGAAGCTTAAAACTAAGCTGTATTTGATTGTTATGTGTAGAAGTGAATGTGGGAAAATTTGTGGGAACACGTTTGATTAATAGGGATTGGTCAAATAAGATGAGTGAATAAATGACTGTGACTCCTCGTATGCCAACGCATAATCGCTCTTTTCTCTTTTCTGTTCTACTTCGAAACAAGTGGCCATCTTTTTTTCTTTCTTTATATCCCACATCAATCGACTTTCTTATGAAGTTTCTTGCAAGATTCTTATTTCTTATTATTTCAGCAAAGGTTCTTGAAAATTTTCTTGTAACTTCGGCCAAGGTTCTTATTTTAATTTTTGCTTCAGTTTTTATCTTTTTTTGCTCATGATTGAATTGGCAACAATGGACAGCAATGGAATTACTTAGTTTTTTTATAGGCTTTTATGCTATAGATGAAGAATAAGATCCTCATCAGAATTTAAAGAAAGTTTCCATTTTCAACAAGATTGTAGACAGATGTTGTTTGTACTTGTGTCTTTGTTAACATGTATCTAACTCTTCTTGTATGTACGAAAGGAAATAAAATTGACAAATTAAGAAGAAAATTACGTTATGTACAGCTTTATAGGTATAAGAATACACACACTGCTCAACTAGGTGATCTTCAAACAGATTTAAACTTTTTTGACTGGATCATTCATGAGACACAAAAATATAAAATGCTGACAGCTGCAGATTCAAGCGGATGAACAAATTTTTTTTACCAAAATGTAACACAGCTCTCTTATAGTGTTAAAAGTAACTCACAAAATTTGAAGTAGCCATCCTGGTTCATGAGTTACACCGGTATTCTTATATTCTCGTAGAGTACCGTAGTTTACAATATTTTGCAAAAATAATTCGTCCCTTTTCAAAAGAATTTTTATTTAAATTAGAGCAAGTATAATATGTTTTTATTAAATCAGTATTTCATACTCTTTTCATATCCTTATATCACAACTTTCGTCTATGCTTTTATGTTAACCCATATTGATTAAAATAAGAGCATATAGTTTTCGACTGCACGAAATAAAGTATGCACCAGTTAAAAAGTGATGTTGGGGTATCCGGAAGAATTGCTATACATCGAATATCAAGATTAGCTGAAAGCTGCGGAACGTCTCACTTTTTAGAAAAATGTTTGTTCTACAAAATACATTTGTTAAAAAATTTCAAAATTATTTCTAACAAAACTTAGAGCATTTTAAATGCTCTAAGTCAATGTAATCTGTTTTTTCATAAATATTGTTCTGTGCTTGTCTATTTGTTTTGTGTGTTTGTGAGTTTTCTTTAACAGTAGTAAAACAACTGAACAAGAGTTAGCAGTTGTCACTGATGCAAAGCTACTCTAATTGAGCATGAAATAAGATAACTCTACACTTGAAAGTTGTAAAATTGTACTTTTATAGGAAAAAGAGATCGAACTCAATAGAATAAGATCGAATTAGTTTTGTAAAATCTAGTTGAATTGGTGAACCGTTAGCTAAGGACTGTGTACTAAAGTGTACCGTTTTACATTAATAGTGTTTCAAACATATATTGTAGGCAAAATTAGAGTCCAGTCAGATTTTGCCAGCAACACATAGTTTACTTTTTTCTTACGCATTTGTGATCATTTTATGCTTCTTTGTGAGTCACAGTGACTATATTAAAATAAAATGGTGTGAAATGAAAAGAAATAAGAATCTTCCAAGAACGTCGACAAGAAAGTGTATTTATACACGATGAACGAAAACAGATGACCGCTCGATTCAAAGACCGCTTTATTCACTCATGTTATTTGACCGATCCCTAGTACAGCGTGACAATTCATAAGCTATTTAAATTTGAGTAGAATGATACACGTGAAATGCGTCGGTAACATTACGTCAAGATGTGTTTTGTAGCTTATCTTACTTCTCCTCAATGAGTACTATTTTAGGCATTGCGAGGGTTGTGTTGAAGAGGCAATTCATCCGTTTCATAGCCTGGCTGACTACAGTGAATACGTAGAAAGCTTTGTAAAATGCAGAACTTGCTTTTTCTCATTAAGAACGGGTACAACGTGTAATGAAAATATTCCATAGTTAAAATGTATTCTGGACTGTTAAGGCTGTTTTAGTGTGCTTAAAAACAACGATGTGGATAGAAACCGATTTATTGAGGTACTCCGATAATAAAAAGAGGAATACAAAAAATGACGTAAAATAGTTGTTCATTATTTTTAACCATAGACAGATGAAGCATTAGATGTTAAACAGAATTATCCTCACAGCCCCCTACCCCCATCACCTACCACACACTGCCAGAAATACCTAAATTTGTATTATGAAAAATTCGTGAAAGAGTCGGCATCCTGTTCGCGAAATAGTCGTGTTACGGATCCTCACAGGAGAAAAAGCCGTTACTATCTTCATCATCATGCAATGAAAAACGATCACCATTGATTATTGTCATTTGCTATGAAATAGTTATATGATGTAGGCCTTGGTAATGTAGAATTCTGTTCGAGATAT